GCCACTATAGTGGCGCGTCGTATTGAGAAATGACATCCGCGAATGCCACTATAGTGGCGCGTCGTACTGAGAGACGACATCCGCAAGCGCCACTATAGTGGCGCGTCGTACAGGAAGATGATATCCGCGAATGCCACTATAGTGGCGCGTCGTACTGAGAGATGACATCCGCGAAAGCCACTATAGTGGCGCAAAGTGCCTAAGAGCTTAACGGGTGAATTTTATTTAAGCTGTTGTATGGTGCAGGTGAAGAATGAGAGTGCGACGCTGCATTTGTCATGTTCCTCGTTTGCTAAAACGATACGAATTCAATGAGTCATTGTTTGAGTGATTGTTTTATTTCGTTGAATTCGATTTACGAAATTCTCAAGCATTCTCACGATGCGGTCAGACCGAACGAACAGATCCTCGTCCGAAACATTAATTTGTCTCTCCCTTATTGAGTGGGAATTGGCGATTCACGGGAGAACGGATCTCTCGAATTTGGGTGAAGTGAGAAGAGGTACGAGAGTTCCAACCGCATCGTCGAGAATCATTTACTTTTTTATTAATTATAAATTTTGGTTTATGGGACTCACCATAATCGATGCATTTGTTCAATTTTTCCACGGTTTCATACGTCACGCGATAATTGTTACGTTCTGCTACTTCTAACAACTTGTCTAACTGAACTTCACTGTCCTGCATCTGAGATCATCGAGTAGCACAATTATTTTCTATAAAATGATAAGATTTGAAATTTCTGAACTTACGATGCTGCACTTCTCCAAGACGCAAGCCATGAAGCAACCGAAATCGATAGAAAATTCATCGAGCTCGTCCCTCGCCACGTGCTCCTGATGAATCACCCTTTCCAATTTGTCGAAATCGACTGAAGTCACAAAGAAAATAAGGATCGTTAGACTCGCGACGTGCGAATGAGTCTTATTATTATTAATTATTTCGTATGAGATACCATCGTCCAAGTTGTTCTCGTCTAGACACTCCCCTATTTCTCTCAGCGGAACGTTGAGTACTTTAGCGGCTTCCTTCACCTCCGCGGTTACCTGAAGTACCAAGTAATCAGTCCTACTTTTCACGATAATAAATTCCTCCGCCGAGTACGTTACGCCGTCGTATCACTTACGCTAGCCAGGAGACAGATTAGAATCGCAAGTAACTTCTTCATTTCGCAACGCTCGGAAACACGAACGGAAATAAGAACGCAGGCTGCTTCTTCGGAACAGTGACAAGGTGTGGAGTGCGATGGGAACGCATCGTGCTTTTATTTGATTTGGCTGACGAGCGCATCAAAATTTTCAACAGAATTATTTGTCGTTGCTCGAGACACGTGTATAAAAATTGAATCGGTCAGCGAAAAATATAACACGTTGCTCAAGCGTCTTTTAAGGATGTATTGGCTATACAGTCAATCCTAAAAGTTTATGTACCTCAGAAAAACGCATTTCCTATAATNATGTACAGGTAATAAGATTTACCTCTATAGGATTACGATTGTATTTTTTTCTGGTATAAATAAATAAATAAATAAATAAATAAATTGCTAGCGATAAAAAGATAAATAAAAGATAAATTTCTATAAAAATTCGTGAGGACGGATCGATGGATTTTATCGTGATCGGTATTCAAATGAACCGAGCATGTACTCACTGCTTTCGGCGCACTCCTGCGCGATCGTCATCACCAATTTGTGGTCATCCGGATTGTTGGCGTGAACCACGTCGATCATCTTGTATATTGGCTCCAAATTGAAGTCGGTCCCGCTGCCCAACTAAGAACGGAGACGTCGATCGAATTAAAAACGAATCGAACGATTTCTAAATGAAATTAATTTCATCGTCGATGGATACTGACCACTTTCATTCGTTTCATCACGCAAGCCTTCACGCAACCCAGAGTTCTGGTGGCGGCGACGTCCTTATGGTACTGGACATTCGTTGCCGCTTCTACAGGACGACAGAAACAAGTTCGAAGATGAGTTTCAACGACAGAACGAATTTCTGAGGATCCTTCAAAAGTTTTTCACCTTCCGACATTTTGAACTCGTCGGCGCACGGTCTTATGTCCGGCATCAGGTATTCGAGGTACTCGGATACGATCGTGTCTTCGTCGAAACCGCGTACGACCGTCTGCACGGATGATCAGAGCGTTAATTAATCGATGTGGGGCGATGAGGAGGAAGGGGGGGGGGGAACGTGCGGTCTGAAGATTTTTGCGTTATGAAAAATGAACGAACGACCGCGTCGATGCATTTTGAATCGTGAATAGTACTTTGTGCACCAAGGGCCGAAAATGGGTCTTTCCGGGCGAGGTTGATGTTTGAGCACGAGTGGCAGTCGAGGGCGCCACAGGCGCCCGAGATGAACACGAGCTGCTCAGAACATCATCCGAGCCTGGAAAGGTCCATTCGGCCCGTGTCGCACACAATATTTTTCATAAAAAGGGCATAAAAAAGACCATCTTTCGTCGCCTACAAAGCGGATTGAAAATAGTTTTCGGTCCACTTTATAGGCGCCGAAAATGGTCGTTTTCGGCCTCGTGTTATGAAAAAAAATAATCGAACCGCCGAGTCTCACTTGGATCACTTGAAACGTAAATTCACGAAGCACTTACAACGGCGATTAGAAGGCAAGTAACGAACGCTGTGGTCTTCATTTTGGTCCAACTGTAGCTCGATACGATACAACTACGCAGCCGAACTACTTGCTATCCGTGTGTTAGCGGGGCTCCGCGAGATTCGATATTTATATGAGCGCGCGGTAGGGACAATAGCAGGTGTAAATGTTCGGTCTAAGTGACGGACAAGGCGAGCAGCAGGAAACAAGATAATTGACCGATCTCGTTCGATTTACGTAAGGTCCGAAATACGACTAATCACCGGTGGAAAGCGTCAGGCCTGTCACGGGGATATGATTATTTACCGCGGGTGGAACTAACGTTGCCTAGATCAAATTACGGGATCTAGCAAAATCGTCCTCTAATGATCTAGTCGCGTACTCTGCAATCTCCGGGAATCCGTTGTCTCAAGTAGGAACAAATTACGGTGCAATCGAGCATTGTTTGTTTCTTCCTCTCTTCCCTCCGTACTCTCAGAAGCGATCATAGACATATAAGAATAGACTACGCAAGCAGTTCGAAGAAGCGTCGGAAGAAAAGAAAGAGAACGGCAACCGATAGGCCCCTGCTGTGTTCTCGTCTAACCGTCACGAGAGTCCATAGTCAGCAAAGATCAGTTTTCGGTCACTGTCACTTCCTCTCTAGTGCTTTCTATATTTTCGCCACTATTCAGTTCTATGTATTCGGTTAACCCAGTGGTGGGCAAAGTACGGCCCGCGGGCCAACTCCGGCCCGCGAAATTATTTAATCCGGCCCGCCGAGGGCCCATCGACATGGATAGTATATGGCCCGCTATAATTACGTTTTCACGGTCGAGAAGTATAAAGTGCATTTTTTCTATAATTCTGGCCCTCCTCTAGAATTTCTTAAACTTTGTGACCCCCCATTAAAAAAGTTTGCCCACCACTGGGTTAACCCATTGAGATATATAAAACATCTGGAGTGTGAACGAATGGGGGGTACGTTCGCCGACGAAGAGGAACCGTGAAGGAATCTCTTTCTCTTTTTAGGTTATAATGCATGTTTTCTGAACCTGAACTCGGACGCGTATATGTCGAGTGATTGACAATGTTATAAATTCAAGTGATTCGATAGAATACTGAACTTCTATCCCCACCATAGTTAAATTTACTACAAGATAATACAAATAGAGAGAGAGAGAATATAAAAAGAAGGATAGAGATCCCCCATAGCTTCTCGCTTCTTGGAGCATCGTCGCTACTCTTCTATCTTACGACTTTTGACAGCCGCGCACACTCCAGATATTTTATATAGCTCAATG